AAGTCATCAAATTCGTATATAAAACAAATTTAATGATGGATTAAAATAGAACAACATTTATAAGAGACTATTTATTTTTATTTATGATGGATCAAAAGTGGAAATACATTTAAATTTATAATTTTATTTGTGAAACACATTTAAATTTATAATTAACGAAAATAATGAAAATCTTAATATAATATGATACTTTTAGTAATGTATTTTTTTATAAATTTAAACTTACTTTTTTTAGTTTAGTTTTTAAATTTTATGTATTATATTATTGTTAATTGATATACTAGAATAAATTTATATAAAAATAGTCTTTATCTTCAAAATTCACTTCTTCAAATAATATCTTTATATTTTCTACTTGTTTCTTTATAGTTAAGAAGGTCAGCATTTGTGCACACACTTAAATATAATATAAAGTAAAGAGTATTTGTTTATTCTATTTTATTTCCAATCTATAATTTGACAAAAATCACATAGAAATGTATTATATGTTATATTATAGAAATGAAATTAAGTTATAGTTTGGAGAATATATATATATATATATATATATATATATATATATATATATATATATTAAAATATAATTTATTTTTAAGTTGATAAATTTTATTTTTATTTATGTAAATTTGATATATAAAATTAATTTAGAGTTCATATATGTAATTTTAATTTATGTAATATATATATATATATATATATAATTTATATAATATATATAATTTATTTAACATTAAAAATAGTTATATTTTTATTAATTTTATAATTATAATTTTCAAAGTATAACTTAATTTCATTTCTATAATATAACATATAATAGCGGTTCCACGTGGAACAACTATTATATGTTAACTTTTAAGAGCGGTTCCGGTGGAACCGCTATCATAGCTCACCACATATTTCATTATGATCGATTAAATTTTCAAATAATCGATTATATTTGAAAATATATAATAAGCGGTTCCAAGTTAACCACTATCTAAAATATATTTTAGATAGCGGTTAACGTAGAACCGCTATTATATGCTCACTTTTAAGAGCGGTTCCAGTAGAACAGCTATCATATATATATATATTACATAAATTAAAATTACATATATGAACTCTAAATTAATTTTATATATAAAATTTACATAAATAAAAATAAAAATTATCAACTTAAAAATAAATTATATTTTAATATATATATATATATATATATTCTCCAAAGTATAACTTAATTTCATTTCTATAATATAACATGTGGAGCCGCTATTATATGTTAACTTTTAAGAACGGTTCAGGTGGAATCGCTATCATAGCTCACCACATATTTCATTATGATCGATTAAATTTTCAAATAATCGATTATATTTGAAAATATATAATAGCGGTTCCAAGTTAACTGCTATCTAAAATATATGTTAGATAGCGGTTAACGTGGAACCGCTATTATATGCTCACTTGTAAGAGCGGTTCAGGTGGAACCGCTATCATATATAACCACATATTTCTATTCAAATAATCGATTATATTTTCAAATAATTGATTATAATCGATTATATTCGATAATTTTTTCAAATAATTAATTATAATCGATTAGCTTTTTAAATAATTAATTAGAATTGATTAGCTTTTCAAATTATAGATTATAATTCATTAATTTCTCAAATATATATTAAAAAATTATAAATAAAAATATATATTAAATTAAAATGTAAAAAAATTATTTATCAATTATATATTATAAAAATTATAATTATATAATTAAAAAATCTTATTTATAATTATAACTTTAAAATAAATTATAACTATAAAATTAATGTTAAATAAATTATATATACTATATAAATTATATATATATATATATATATATATATATATTACATAAATTAAAATTACATATATGAACTCTAAATTAATTTTATATATAAAATTGACATAAATAAAAATAAAAATTATCAACTTAAAAATAAATTATATTTTAATATATATATATATATATATATATATATATATATATTTTTTTAACTATTTAAAAAACTAATCTATTATTTCAAAAAGTAATCTATTAGTTTTTTCATACTTCATTTTTTTATACTTCATTTTTTCATACTTCATATTTTCATACTTCATTTTTTCATACTTCATTTTTTCATACTTGATGAGAATCAGTTATTTTCATACTTGAATTTTTTAAAAAATAAATTATATTTTAATATATATATATATATATATATATATATATATATTCTTCAAAGTATAACTTAATTTCATTTCTATAATATAACATATAATACATTTCTATGTGATTTCTGTCAAATTATAGATTGGAAATAAACATTTAAAAAAAAAATCAAAATATAGGTTGGAAATAAATCTATAAAATTTTAAAAATGATATTATATTTTTAAAAACAAATATTAGAAAAAGGTTTAAAAACATATATAAATTATATTTATATGTCCAAAATATTAAAGATATCTACATTTAAAAAAATACTAAAAAATATTAAAAGTTATACTTTAAATTAATGAAAATATTTAAAAAAAGTTATATTTATTAAAGTATTAAAAAATATTTTGTAATATATAAGTTAAAAAAATTATCATTAAATTTTTTAAAAATTATTAGTTTTGTAATTTATATACAATGAAAATAATATAATGGTATATTAGTATATAAATATATAAATATATAAATAAATATAAATATATAAATATATATAAATATATAAATATATATAAATATATATAAATATATAAATATATATAAATATATATAAATATATAAATATATATATATATATAAATATATAAATATATAAATATATAAATATATAAATATGTAAATATATCAATATTTGAATATATATTAAAATATAAAAATATATTTATATCTATAGATTTTATAAATATATAAAGATATATATATATATATATATATATATATATATATATATATATATATATATATAAAGATATAAATATATAAAGATATAAAGATATAAAGATATAAATAAATATATAAATATATTAATATATAAATATATAAATATATAAATATATAAATATGTAAATATATAAATATATAAATATATAAATATGTAAATATATCAATATTTAAATATATATTAAAATATATAAATATATTTATATTTATAGATTTTATAAATATATAAAGATATAAATATATATATATATATATAGATGTAAATATATAAAGATATAAAGATATGTAAAGATATAAAGATATAAATATATGTAAAGATATAAAGATATAAAATATAAAGATATAAATATGTAAAGATATAAATATATATCTTTAATATTTTGTACATGTAAATATAATTTATATATATTTTTAAATCTTTTTCTAATATTTATTTTTAAAAATATAATATTATTTTTAAAATTTAATATTTAAATTTTTATTTTTTTTCAAATATATAAAGATATAAATGTATAAGGATATAAATAAATATATAAATATATCAAAAATATATATATATATATATATATATATATATATCAAAATATAAATATATAAATATATTAAGATATAAATATATGATATATTTATATCTTAATATATTTATATATTTATATATATATATATATATCAATATATCAATATTATCCCCTCATATATTATTATACATTATTAGCGTAATTTTAGTTAATTAAAAATTAGAATACAAATATATTATATTATATTAATATACCATTATGTTATAATATTTGTAATTTATTTTTATAGTGTATAAATTACAAAACTAATAATTTGTATACTATACTATACTAATATATAATTTGTATACTATACTAATAGTATAATATACTATATTATAATATTATTTGTATACAAAACTAATATCTTTAGATCTTTATATATAAATATATAAATATGGAAAGATATAAATATATGTAAAAATATAAAGATATAAATATATATATAAAAATATAAAGATATAAATATATAAATATATCAATATTTAAATATATCAATGTATTAATATTTAAATATATATTAAAATATATAAATATATTTTTATTTATAGATTTTATATTTATATATTTATACGGATATACATTTATTTGTATATAAATATAATTTATTTGTAAGTTATTATTAAAAAATCCTAGTAGCTCAGTGGTTGGAGTTTCAGCTTTCAACTCTAAGGTACGGGTTCGAATTGGTCGCTATTTTTTTAACTTTGTCACTGATTTAACGACCAATTTGATATATTAATTTCGGTCGCTATTTTGCGACCGAAATGAAAATCGGTCGCTAACACATTAGCGACTTGGCTTTTTGCGACGATGCCTTTCGGTCGCTAATTTCGATCACTAACTGATTAGTGACCGATTTTTTCGATCGCTAAAATGCTTTTTTCTTGTAGTGTCTAGACTTTCCACCTACTTGCATAATATTTGAAAAAATTGGATTGATTTTCAAGAGTCTTAGATATTCAAAATAAAAGACTTTGTCACATATGACCATCATAATTTAGTTTTAACACAATTATTTATTGAAGTGTAAATGTCATTTTCTACCAAAAAATAACACCTATATATAATTTATTTCATTGTGCAAGACATGTAGCTATAGGCTATATTATCAAAACTTCTAACCACCAAGCAACGCCAAGTGGTCTTGATCAACATGTTTAATTTTTTTAGTCATTAAAGTTGTTATCCAATCATTAGTTTTCTTCTTCTTTGATACGTTGAATCCTAATTTCCTTTCAAATCTTTATCCCTTTGTCTTGCCTTGTTGTATCATTGCAAAACACATGTATATATATGCAAACATAATCAAAATGCTTTAACTTTTAGCATCCACACTTAGATCTCCGTATATCTTCCTAGCTTACTAACAGTTTTTCTCACGTTTGGTTTTTCATAGTGATTTACAGACTTCAGAATTTGAAAATTGTTTTGAAACTGGTCGCATTAAAACGCAAGCCACCAGCAACACAAACATAAAGTAGCCAACATTTTACAGTCCTAGTATCCTAGAAGATGGAGAATCGTCCTTCAGGTGTTATCAGCAATGGCAAAATTAGTCCCTCTAGTCCAAGTTTCACACATGAAGGAGGTGGTGGAGAACATGAAATTCGTGTACAGCCACAAATTCCAGGATGGTTTTCAGAATATTCTCTATTATGGCCAGGTGGGTTTACAGTAATACTGTCGAATTTTTTTTATATATGTTTCAATCTTCTTTATGTTAGTAGTTCCTTATTCACTTCAGATCCAATTTCTACATATGAATATGCATCTTTCATGTTCATTATTCTCTTCAGATCCTTGAATTAATTATTAAAGTTAAAAAAAAAATGGCATGCCATTAAGTGAAAGTTATAAAATTGTTTTGTTTTTTCATTCATAAATCATAAAATACTTTGCATGCCTGGCCTTCATAATACATTTTCATTTTCTGGCCATGCTTCAAGTGCAAGGATAATAATATTTTTGTGATTATGTTGTGTAAAACATGCATATCAGGTTAAATAACTGTTCATGTTTTAATCCCTCTCCTCCCCCACACACCTTCCTTAAAGAACAATCTAAATCTAAATATGTTGTCTAATGGAATAAGAAATGTAAGTATAGAATATTTCCCACGTAATTAACCTAATCATGTTTCTAAACATATAATATTCATGCATGTTTCTATAAAGCTAACCAAATTGATTGACGAGTACATGTTGCAGGACAAGCACACTTCTTAAAAGTAGAAAAGATTTATTTCCAAGGGAAATCTGAATACCAGGATATGCTAGTTTTTCAGGTGATGATAATTACAAAACATAATATATCTTGATTACTTGGTTCCTGATCTATGCTAATTAATAGTGTAATTGACGCTTCTTCGACGTTAACCATTGCAGTCATCAACTTATGGCAAGGTTTTTGTTCTTGATGGAGCACTCCAACTCACAGAGAAGGACGAATGTGCTTACCAAGAAATGATGACTCACCTTCCTCTTTGTTCTATCCCCAACCCAAAAAAGGTTTCCATATATATATATATATATGAGACAATTAATGTTACGTTTCAAATAATTTCATTATTACACTCTTCTCTATAAGCATTTCAATATTGCATTAAGCTATGATTGTGTCAAACCACAATCTATGGGCCTCTCTTAACACTTTTTCCCCTCTCCTACTCATAATTTTAGGTGCTGCTTATTGGTGGTGGAGATGGTGGCATCCTAAGGGAAATTTCTCGCCACTCGTCTGTTGAACAAATCGACATATGTGAAATAGACACAATGCTCATTGATGTAAGCATAATGTTTTACCAAAGAGAGACAAACTTTGTCTTTATGTACACGTATAAACTAATTAATGTGTCCAACCTTTTGTATAAGTAAATGATGCTAGTATACAAGTTATATTCATTTCTCAGTACTATTCTTTTATTGAATTGGAATTTCACTTTAATAATATTAATCTTTAATATAAAATTTTGTACACATACAATTTTGACAAATAGCACTTTAAGAAACTACATTTAAACGTATATCCATGTCAAGCTTTTTATTTAATTATGAAACGATATTATACAAAACATGGTGAAGTAGAGAACTTTAATTAATTTACAGGGGTTAACTAATGATTTCAGGTCTATAAAGAATTTTTCCCAGACGTTGCTGTTGGGTACAAAGACCCTCGAGTCAAGCTTCATATCATAGATGGTACATAAAAAATATATGGCTTAGTATTATTTTATTATTCTCATTAAAGTTGTTTGATGTGTTTTTATATTTTGTTGAAACTAGCAGGAACTCTTTTTTTGAATTCTGTGCCAAGAGGAACCTATGATGCCATTATAGTGGATGCCTTCGACCCAATAAGTGTGTCTCATGTCTTGTATACGTTTTGGTTTTGAATCTTAACAAAATATCGTGTTTAGTGATACTAAATAATGTGAAATGTTTACTACGGTTCCAGGGCCTGATCATGAGCTTTTTGAATCCGAGTTTTTCGAACTGGTTTCTGTGGCTCTTCGACCTGGAGGAGTCCTGTGTATCCAAGCAGAGAGTATTTGGTTTCAGTCCTTGGATATTGAAGAACTTCTCACCAAATGTGACCAACCTTTTAAAGGTTCCTCTGATTATGCATGGACCACTGTCCCTGCATATCCAAGGCAAGCATCATTCTATCCTTCAGTACTAAAGTTAATTACATTCAGATCAATTTTTTCAGTAAATAATTATCTTTTCATAAGCTAAATTAGCTTACGGCAAAATTTTCCAAAGAACGCGATATAACGAAAATTCCTCTTCATAAGATCATCTTCTTTAAAGGGAGTTGTTATCAAAAGCTAGTTAAGAATAAAAGGAAATAAGGAAAAAAAAGAAATATTTTATTATGGATCTTATATCTAAATTGTTTAAAAGTGATAAAATTACTTAAAATAAAAAAAAATTGTTTAAACAAGTAATTCTGACAATATTTTAAACAACTTAACTTTTATATTTATAATAAAATATTCAATTTTATTCTTAAGCAAGTTTTGTTAAAAACTTCTTTTAAAGATATTATAAGAGAATATTGATGAAAAATTACTTCAGAACAAGAGGATATGATAAAAAATCTTTCTCTAGACGAGAGGTATGATAAAAAAATCTTTATTTAAATGAGAGACGTGAAATCTAACATGGACTAACTATTAAATCAATTTTATAGAATCAAATTAAGTATTTTATTATTTTCTACTTATATTTTCATTTTATCACTTCTTATTTTATCTCTATCATCGTATTTTTATTTTTCCTGTCCCCAATTTCATTTTATCACTTTAAATTCATTTTGTTTTTTCACTTTTTTTTTCTACTCATTCGTATTTTTATTTTCATCACTTCATCTTACTGCATAAAATTTGTTAGCTTTTTCTTTATTTTTTAGATTTTTTTTCTTTTTTACAATTTTATCTTTATAGCATAAAAATCATAATTTTTTAGTTTTTTTTTCTTTTATTGACATCGAAGACATAAGACAATAAATAATAAAAAAAACAGAGGAGATATCTTACAATAATTATTTTGTAGTAAAGAAACACGAAACCCATTTATTTTCTTTATTATTTTTTTTATTATTACAACAAATTAGCATGTGTAGTGTAGTTTAAAAATATAAAATATTGATATAAATATTTTTATTTATTATAAATTAGTTAGTTATTTTAATTTATGATGTTCTATTTTGATATTAAAATATAAAAGAAAAATTTAAGTTGAGTTTTAAAGATATCTAAACAAAAATTATAGACTATTTTTTTAAGAAAAAAAAAGTATAAATGATGAAATAAATTTTATTTTTCAAAATTTTAATTAGTAATGTTAAACATATTTATAAGTATTTTATACAATATATTTATTATAAAACCCCTCTCGATATGATAAAATGATACATCAATTACATATACGATATTATAAGATATAAGAGTGAATTAGTTTTGTAAGATTGAATTATACATCATATCATTTAAATATAACTTAAATTAAAATCAATTTAAATATAACTTAAATTAAAATCATTTTTGTTTTTTTCGATAAATCATAACTTATAATTACCAAAATAACATGAATTAACATAAATAATCACCACAGCTTTTTCTTTGGTACTTCATGTGGCGGACAAATGAAGAAATAATGCTTCTAAAGGGTTTCACTATTTATTATATTTCTCTTTTAGTATTTGATGTACAGACAAAAACTAATCTAAACATCATGTTCCATTTCATTTCCTTTTTCCAACCATTTTAGTGAAGCCCAAAGTGTACCATTATAACTCATCCTACTCAATCATACTCTAAAACTTACCAAACATAAAATAAAACTTACATACATGCTGTTATGTTCGTTCCTGTGTTAATACATCCACCAAATGGTGTATCTTTGGTTTCTTTTCTTTCAGTGGGGTCATTGGTTTCTTGCTATTCCACGGAAGGTCCATATGTCGACTTCAGAAATCCAATTAATCCCATCGATCCCGAAAATTATGGCATATCAAAGCAACCCTTGAAGTTCTACAACTCAGAAGTAAGCACGTGATTTTGTATATATGCAAGTAATCTAAAATTGACACGGATTTTTGTGTTTTTGATTGTATGTTTTCAATGTTGTAACTCGGTTTCAGGTTCATTCAGCTGCGTTTTGCTTGCCATCTTTTGCCAAAAGGTTCTCGATTGCCAAACAAAGCAAGGGCAATGGCCGAAATATTAACAAGACAGACACATGTTATGTAGTTGCAAGCATGTGTACTAATACCGACAACACTGCATGCCTCATTCACACCCATTCCGACACTAATATTTGAAAACTCATGCCATTATTGTGCCAAGATTTTTGAAAAACATCAACGTTCAAGTGTGGTATGCCTTCAAAAATAATTACTCCTTATACGTTACCATCATGCAGACAGAATCAATATTTCATTGTTTCATTTATTTTAAGCAAAACATCAATAAATTCATTAAATTGCTAATTCTTAATGTGTTTGTGTGTACAATGTGGTGATAATGAATTAAATTTTTTTGCATCTTATACCCTTAAACATCCAACTACTATAACGACACTGATTTATTGTTAGTCCTTTAACAAAATTTAAATTTAACCTTAACTTTACGACTGTAAATAAATTTTAGTTATTGGCATTACAAGAAAGTTATTTAATCTTTAATTTTGGTTATTACGTTTGTCTCAAACATTAGATCAAATCGTTTGATAGTGTTATATCAAATTCATGAAGTACCTTATTACTTGACAGTTTTGAGAGCTGTTGAGTAAATTTATTTTTTCTATCAAAGTAAATTTTCCAATTATTAATTTACAAAATGTTCCGCTGTATGTCCGTTATAATAATATTATTATCTGAGTATTATTTATTTTAAAACTTTTATCTGTTACAATTTTATTTTTTAAAAATGTTTTGATGAGTTAAAGAGAAGAATATATTTAATTATTATTGGTCTCGATAGATTTCAACGTGAAACATAAAATATTTATAAAATTAATTCTTTTAAGATACTAAAATTAATCAAGATTCTGTAAAAAAAAAAAAATTCATACAAATGGATCTCAGAATTCAAATCCCTTGCCACATTTTAGTCTATTCATTACCTACATGTTCTTGATACAAATCATTATATTTTGGGTGAAGTATAGTCCCAATGGAGTGAGTCAAATAAGTGAAGTTTTTGGAAAGACAAAAAAGCAACACGTGAGAGATATTGTAGGTAAACCTAACATGTATAATTGCGCTTAACTAATAAGATATTGGAGTAGATTTGTCCATGTTGTTAAGATATGACCAAATGATGGAATGCGATCTATCACTGTCCCTATAATTAATCCTAAACCCATGGGAGGTTGGTGTGTGTCTAAATCCAAATTTGGCTCAAAAGAGGATAAACACATCCATGATGGCTAGTTGTCTCCATCAAAGTCAGCAATTTGGAAACACAATTCAACCCCAATGCCACTATGTGTTCCTCCAACATTTTTCCTTATTATCACCAGAAATATTGTAACTTTCTTTTAGTTTAGTTATGTGCATGGCATGTTCTTAGTGGTTGAAAGTTGAAACTATGAAACACTCAATGATTGCACAACTTGAAATCAAAACCCCGAATCTTTCTTTAGGATTGATCATGTCTAAGTTACCATACTTGATTATAGGCACTAACGAATTGTCACAAGGACTTTTAAGGAAAAAAGAATCATAAACTAAAATTAATTTATACATAAGTTTAAAATAAAAAAAATTATATAATTCTACATATTAACTTATATATAAACTAATTTTATAATATAAAAAATTGAACTAATATACAAACTAATTTTATTGTATAAAATTTTAATTTTAATTTTTCTTTCTATTTTTTTCTCCTATTGTTGTAGTTAGAGAAGTTAGATATCAAAACTAAGGTAAAATAGATTAACATTTTGTGTTCAAGAGTATAAGGAAAGAGTGACTCTGATAAAGTCTATCACCAAGACAATTATCGTTAATTAAATAAATTTTTTATATAAAAATTTATAACATTTCAACATAATTAAAACTAATGATAAAAATATATTATTATTATTTTTTAAAATATTTAGATGAAAACTAAATCCTATTATTAGTTTTACGAAAAAGAAAGCTAATAAATTATTATGTTGATCCTTTTAGTTTTTTTTTTGGCAAGGAATAAGTCGCTAAGTTTTAGGTTTACTTTTACCTTCAATAAAATTTATGAAATCTACATTTTTATTGGTCATACTTGTGATGAAATTAGATAAATTTCACATAGTAGGAAGAAGTAAAAGCATATATATATATATATATATATATATATATATATATATATATATCCTGTAAAATAAAATAAAAATATTTTACAACTAAAATTGGTATAAAAGAAAAAACAAAATTTGTTATAACAAAAAACAATTATGTTAATATTCATCTTAATTTTCTTGAAATATAAAATTAAAAAAAGTTACAAACAAATTAATCACGTAAAAAAATTTAGTTTTGATTATTATTCTTATTTTGCAGAATCCATAAACTTCTATATTAAGAAGACATCGCATCCAACTAATCCTTTCTCGATCAAGGATTTTGTAATCATAGTAATTTATTTATAATTAAATCATAAAACACTTTATATAATAAGATCCTTATATAATATTTTTTTTATAACTAAAATTTGATTTAAGTATAGATAAAAATATTTAAAATAACAAGTTAATTTGTTCCTCTGAATCTCATATATGTTTCATCCACCTAAATTTTATCAAGAATTTGTTTGTTATTTTATTATTATTATTATTATTATTATTATTATTATTATTATTATTATTATTATTATTATTATTATTATTATAATAGTTTAATATAAATATATATAGCTCCAAACCCTAAGGTTTTTAAGATATAGTAGACCCATTGAAACACTACATATTCAATAATGATCTAAGATATTTACTATTTATATTTAATAATATTTATTATATTGTTTATTATTGACTGATTTAAATATCAATCAGATTATCTTTGTAAACATCCCGTGTTGAATACAAAAGGAGAAGACTATAACTTAACTGAAGAGTACATTATTATGTTTGGGAGCATCATGCAATCATGTTAGAACAATTTAAAAGAGGTCATCATTAACTTAAAAAACACATTTTATAATACATTTTTACATTGTCACAACCTATTCACTTTAGTAATCATGCATGTCGATCGGTAATGCTTTTCTCCTATGCTACCTCGTCCTCTTCGCGACGTGATTTTTTTTTTCTTCTAAATCTAACGTATGCATATTTTTTCTATTGTATACATATGATTATTTCTTATTGTGATATACAATATATGTTTCCTTTATATATTATATGTAAAAATTGATTTAACCGATAGCTAATATGAATGATTTGAAAAATATATTTTGTTAGATCAATACTTTTGGTAAATGATGTTTTTTGGCAATCCCCCACTCTATAATGTTGGTCGCTCTTCCTCGCAACACTATAGAATACTCTCTAAGAATACTAAGAAACTTCAAAAATGCTTCGGAGGGATCTAAGAGAAGAATTTGAGAAAGTTGTAGAAGAGAAAGTTGAAGAATGCTGTGAAAAGGATAAGGTCGCGCCCCCCTTTTATAGGAATGCACACCTATCAAGTCGGGACCGCCGTTTCGTCTGATAAGGTCGGGACCGCCGTCTCACCAAACGGGACAGTGGTCTTGTCCTTGATAAATGGCGAGAAGGCCGTCTCCCCAAACGAGACAGCGGTCTTGCCATTGACGAGTGGCGAGACGGCCGTCTCGTCAAACGAGACGACCGTCTCGTCCTTTGTCGATGGCAAGACAACGGTCTCGCCAAACGAGACGGTGGTCTCGACCTTCTAGGTGGAATTTCTTATTTTTTCTATACAAAAAAACCTTCCTACTCTAATATGGGGACTATTGGTCTATCCTAGGGACCCTTTATGCTTTGCCCATCTTCGAACGGAAGTCTTCTGCTATTTATTTTGAGGCCGAGCAAAATTTGGGATCTACACACCCGAGGGATCAGCTACCGCGTCAAAGGAGCATCCTGAGGCATCAAACCAAGACCAAGGGGGTCATCTACCGCATCAAAGGAGCATCCTGAAGTTCTCTAGCCGTTAAAGCTAAAGGGTCAACTGTCGTATCAAGGGGCATCCTAAAGCTTCACAAAGTATCATCTCGAGGGTTAGCTACCACATCGAGAGGAGCATCCGGAGGACGACCGGGAAAGAGGGTAAACTCCTTCACCCATCAATCGACCTTATGACACACCAACCCATGATCAATCGGTCGTGTAAACGGGGGCAACTGTAGACCCAAATCTTGCCCAGCTTCACAAATAAAGTCAGAAGACCTCCGTTCGAAGATGGACAAGACCTCTTTAGGTCCTTAAGCATATGTACTCTATAGTAGAATAGGAAGACCTCATGTACAAAAAAATAAGAGATTCCTCGCCAAAGAGCTGAGATGACCGTCCCGTTTGGCCAGATGACTGTCTCGCCCTATAAAGTAAGACGACTGTCTCGTTTGGCGAGACGACCGTCTTGCCTGATAAAGGTCGAGACGACTGTCTCACCCTTGACAAGCACGAATCCCTATAAATAGGCCTCTCCCCCTCCTCATTTCACACACTTCTGCACATATTTCGAGTTCCTACACTCTTCTTAAACCTCTCTGACGCATTTCCAGAGTTCAAGTGCTCTTTTTAGACACTTTGTAGTTAGAATTCTTCTGTCGATATAGGCGTGAGTGGCATTGTAAAGTGAGAGGATAGCCAAAAAACATCCTCAATCTTCAAACACTTAATACAAATCTTGCCTCGGAGGTTTTTTCCACATACTCTCCTTTATTGCTTTCTTTATAGCTTTCTTTGTATGCATATTAGATATTAGAGCCATGTAGACGTTTAATTTCTATAAGTAGATGAAATAATAAGGGTAAAAGCGTAATTTCTTTAGTCTTTATTTTATAAACTGGTCCATCGTAGGAAACCCGAAATGGGCATTGTGGGGTGCTAACACTTTTCCCACACGTAACTAACTCCCTTACCTGACTCTGGTTGTAATGGCAAAAGTTGGTTTTTTCTAAAAAACCACTGTCTTTTTACCTTTTTCAGTGTTTAAGGTTAAAACACTGGTGGTGACTCCATAGAACCTTTTACGAAAATCTCGCCTTTAGGTCCAGCCCGGTTATCGGACAACTTAAAGGCATTGACCACTTCTTTAGAAAACGTGAGTCCTTCAAAAACTATCGTGTCGCTCCGACGACCTCTTTTGACGGTGGCGACACTAATCAATCAGTGATGGCTTATTGTTGCCTTTTTTATGATAGCGCTTTTGATTATATGAACGCATTTTGAAAACGTTTGCTTAAACATGGTTATTAATGGGGTATAAACATAGAAAAGAAGCAGATAGTAAGAATCACATTCTTTATGATTAAAAGGGAAATATGTGCCCTAAAAATGCCCGGGAGTCGGGCTTGTCCTGGGGAGTAATCTCTAATAGTCATTGGGTTTACATTCCTTAAAATCGGAAGAAGAACACCTAATGACTAAAGCTGCTCTTGACGCTTGTACCCCTCCGCTTCGAAAAATCTGATTCAGTGGATGGAGGGGAGACTTTCCCTTTCTTCTTGTAGCTCGATCCTTTGTAGGGTCGTACCCTAGACCATGCTTCAAAAGATTATCTTTAAAATCCGGTGGCTCCCTTATTCCTTGAGAATTTGTACTGAACCCTTGGCCTGGGCGGTATCCATATTTCTACATCATGTGGGCCACCTTCATATTGCTGGGAAATCTTTCAACACTGGCAATTTTTGAGCGCTTGAAAAGATGTTTCAAGGGTCTTTTCAGCTGCATCCACATAAGGTATAGTAGATGGATTGCTGATCAAGATGTCGTCTTCAGCTTGAACTGTGACCAGCTTATCGCCTACCACGAACTTGACTTTTTGGTGGAGCGTTGAAGGTATTGCCTTAGCGTCATGAATCCAAGGTCTGCCAAGAAGACAACTATATGCCGGAGTAATATCCATCACGTGGAAGTCCACATTGAAGATAATGAGACTAATTTGAATTGGCAGATTGATCTCTCCCACTATTTCGCGTCTTGAATCGTCAAAGGCCCGAACGACGGTGTTGCTAGGGTGCATATGGGTTCCTTGTATCGTCAATTTATCAAGATTGCACTTGGGTAGTAC